TTTTAATTAAAAGCGTTGTATAGGTTACATATGAAGACGTTTTGCTTTCTGGTAGCATCTACATATTAACAAGTTGATTTTTACAGCAACCTTCTAGGCATGGCGAGTTCCGTCAAATGAGCAGGACTGGTTGTGGGGGTGGCGAGCTCCGTCAAATGAGCAGGACTGGTTGTGGGGGTGGCGAGCTCCGTCAAATGAGCAGGACTGGTTGTGGGGGTGGCGGGTTCCGTCAAATGAGCAGGACTGGTTGTGGGGGTGGCGAGCTCCGTCAAATGAGCAGGACTGGTTGTGGGGGTGGCGAGCTCCGTCAAATGAGCAGGACTGGTTGTGGGGGTGGCGAGCTCCGTCAAATGAGCAGGACTGGTTGTGGGGGTGACGAGCTCCGTCAAATGAGCAGGACTGGTTGTGGGGGTGGCGAGCTCCGTCAAATGAGCAGGACTGGTTGTGGGGGTGGCGAGTTCCGTCAAATGAGCAGGACTGGTTGTGGGGATGGCGGGTTCCGTCAAATGAGCAGGACTGATTGTGGGGGTGGCGGGTTCCGTCAAATGAGCAGGACTGGTTGTGGGGGTGGCGAGTTCCGTCAAATGAGCAGGACTGGTTGTGGGGATGGCGGGTTCCGTCAAATGAGCAGGACTGATTGTGGGGGTGGCGGGTTCCGTCAAATGAGCAGGACTGGTTGTGGGGGTGGCGAGCTCCGTCAAATGAGCAGGACTGATTGTGGCATATTCCCGAGGCAAATTGGTTAACTGACTTTAAAAGTTAAATTTTGTCTGGACTTACGAGTATATGCATAGTCCAATCAAAATCGCGCACCGAAATCAAAATCCGGTTCGTAAACTGTCGTGCAGATTTCGGTCGATTGCAGGATTTGCAAAGCATGTGCACCGCCAAATCGTTGTCAGCAGATATTTTACAAATCCTTTCATGTTTTTAATCAAGGTTCTCACGTGATTCGATGCATTTCGCGATGTAAGACCCGTTTTATCACAATATAGATCTTGATTATCGATCAGATCGTCCTGACTGGGCGCCACCATTTTGTGTGAAGCAAACACAAGTGACAAGAGCGGTGGAATCTGATTGGTCCACAGGAGAGGCTTAGAAGGGACATAATTGGTAATAGCCACTGGTGGCGCAACGATCGAGCCCAGTAATTCCAGCCAAGTTCGGCAAGGGTGGAAACTGGACTTATAAAGTCAGTTAACTCTCTTGCCTCGGGAAGATGGGTTGTGGGGGCGGCAAGTTCCGTCAAATGAGCAGGACTGGTTGTGGGGGTGGCGAGCTCCGTCAAATGAGCAGGACTGGTTGTGGGGGTGACGAGCTCCGTCAAATGAGCAGGACTGGTTGTGGGGGTGACGAGCTCCGTCAAATGAGCAGGACTAGTTGTGGGGGTGGCGAGCTCCGTCAAATGAGCAGGGCTGGTTGTGGGGGTGACGGGCAAGGACACCGGGGTTGTTGAGAGACAGTTTTATATGCCCTGGGGTCTGTAACACAGCCCAGACAAAGAAGGCACCACCCAACAGTCCATTAGTATCTCTACCACATTGATATTATTCATCAAAATCGCGACTGAGGATATACACTAAAACAAAGGTCGCCACGTTATGTGAGGTCATGAATTTTATGCATGAGGATATAATAGAGAAGGTGCAATTCGATCAGTCCTGTGAACGTGAAACACTTGGGATTAGTGCTCTTTACCGTCGCTTTTTACAGTATCAAAGAATTTGTTATCCATAAAATTGTGCCTACCTTGTCATCCGTTAACTTCTAAATAAAGGCTATCAAACAATTTACTTTCCCGAAGACCGAAAGGGGGTCTTGGATCGTAAAGCAAGAACCACTGGAGCGTGAGCTACGGTAACGGTATAGCGAAACAGCGGTCGCGCTATAGCGCGATAATGGCGCAAACGGTAGCGCTCGGGCTGTGCCCGGGAAACTGCATTGTTGCCGGTCGAGTGCGCCAGATAAACTGCAATGTTGTCGGTCGTTTAATTTCATGTATTATGTATTATACGATTTCGTGACAACAGTGAGGCTGCCATTAAGAATAATAATTTTTAAACGAATGATATCTTTCTGGCACAAATTAACATATCAAATAGGTGTGTATAAGTTTTTATAGCTGTTACTTCAGAGGAACAAGACTATTGCATCAACAAATCCCTTTGTTAGATGTGTCATGGATATACTAGACAGTATTGGATTATCTTATGTATGTGGCGATCCGTCAATTTACACAACAAAGTGGCCAGTGTCAGAAGTAGAGCAAATACTTAAAGATGTCCTTTAGTATTAAAAATGCTAGGTAACCACATGTTATTAACTACCATCTTGTCTGCTATTTGTACATATACATAATAATTTATTTTAATAACCACCTTTTGTGTTTTTTGAGAATAAACTGATTTCTGATTCCGAGTAGACACGAAATATTTACACTCATACCACTGTTGAAAAAAAGGGGGTTTGTCATTGTTTACTTGCCACCGATGTGACGACCACTTTCGAGTCTCGAAACAGTTTGAATAATGTTTTCCTTCACTAAAAGTAACATTGGACGTTATTCCCGTGACGTATACGTTATAAGAGCATTTATGAAAATGCTAAGAAAAGATTTTAACCACCCGTTCTAGCGTTTTCTATAGTAAATACATGCCGTGTCCGCCATGTTTGTTCGTCTAGTGGAGGCCGGCATTGTGCAGTCGTTGCCTGGGTCAGTGTAGCGCCAGCGCAGCATACCCAGAGAACCAGGCTGGAGAAGGACTGGTTCCTGGATAGAGCTGGCCTGTGTCAGACCGGTTGCAAAATTTGGTTCCGCATGAATTTTGATATATGCCCAAATATGGGCATTGTCGACCTTTCTATGCATACGTATTAACAACATGCGCCTGCAATTGTGTTTGCAAACAAAACAGCACCGACGCTCAAGATCCTTTTGGAAAAATTTCTTCAACTTATGGTAATTCAAGCGCCATGTTGTTAGTACGCAGGACACTTATGAGAAAATTTGAAAAGTCACATAAGCGCCGCGCTTTGAACATCGGACCAACTGTCGGTCACTCGCACTGCCGGGATCCCGTCTGTGCAATCAAAATGGTTCGGTTTCCTTGATCTATCAGCTGAATATATATCATGTCCGTACCATTTTGGAAGAGGGAAGTCAGAGTGTTCGCAAAAACATCCATGTTAACTATAAAACCCTATACTGAAGACGTGAAAATCAACAAACTCAAGTCTGCTTGCATGTCAGTGACAGCTTCGAACGAAGGGCAAGGTCACCACCGGAATAAGAAAAGACAACCGTGATATACTCATGGCGTTTTAGGCTAGAGATAAGGAATGTTACTGTTCACATTTGGGATATTTTGGGCCACTTAATCAGGAGTTAGGCATACTTCTACGGAGTTTTCGAATGATTTGTATCGGAAATGTTCACTTTGAGTGATCTGGTAGTGCAGTCGTGAACAAACAACTCCCGAAACAGCCCACAAAATACGCCTCGAAAGGGACACTGAAGGCACAACCGGATCCTCCCAAGTAGGTCTAGATATCTGTCCAGATAGTTTAAACTGACTTCATTTCACCACGCTTATCCTTTTACGTTAACTCGAATTGAAAGTTGCGAAAGTGCTCGGGTGCGTCAGGCTCATAGGGACCCTAGATCTATTGATCGTTAGTTGTAAATGGATAAAGCTCGATTATAGAATGTCTGTTAAAGCTCTATTTATAACGTTTATAGAATGCAAACGGAATTTGATGCGTGTGACTATCTTGCTTGGTTTAATAAAGTGTTTGTAAATATATCTCGCTCTCATCGGATTGCTTCAGTTCTGCCTTGTAGTTGTAAAATGTATATTTTTTTATGAATACAAAGGTAGTCCCTGTGTGACAGAGGTCACGGTTATCCAATTAAAACGACAAAACAAGGTCAACCTTGTACGACACACGTGTGGCGTAAGGATTTAGTATCGCCACGTGGGTAATAATGACTGATCTCACCCAACCGATATCTTTGGAAGCCAAAAACAATTATAATTTGTATTTCGTCTTTGTTGCTAGTGAGATCATATTTAGTCACTTACACACTTACTTACATCCAGGCACTGTCCCTCCTCATCAACCTCATCCACTTCTCAAATGTACCCCCATCGCCAATATTGATCAACTAAATTCCAACACATTTGGGTAAAATTGTCAACCAACGTGATCTCATACAGTGACCCGACAAAGCTGCACTATTTACTAGTGGTCACACTTTATAGGAGGTTCTCCCAGTCAAAGAAGTTGTTGCTGCTATATCAGTATCGTGATCGTCGGAATCTTCAGATACAGTAAACTACGTTCATAACAAACACGCTTATAACGAACTGATGGATATAACGAACTGTTATTTGGTCCATTCCATTTGAAGTATATACGCTTATCTATTTTGTCATGCATATATAGATCTTCAACGCTAGAATATAAGTCTCTATTATCAGCCATCTATTCAATACAGAAACACTTATTATTTTTCCGTTTATTAATGGCCTTAATACCTACATCGAAAATCATCAGATACTATTAAACCCCAGCGCACACTCTGAATCCTTAATTTAAAAAACAATATCTCAAAGGATTGTGAAAAAACACTCTCCATTCTGCTGAATTCATTGTTATTATCATACAACATAAGGCACTATTTGGCTATTTCTGCGTCAAATCAGGTGTCATATTGTTGCTTGTAAGTAGAACTTTGTAGAAATGTACTCCATGAGGGTGTTATAAGAATATAAACATATCTTCTGTGCTCCCATATTAGCAATGATCTAGAAGAGCATAGCGTCCCCACCCTTTCCGACACTTGACATGTCTACCTTCCTTGAATGGCTATCCGCTTGGAAACACCCGACTCCGTACATTTCCTGTAATAGTGTAACAAGTATGGCAGAGTGGTAAATCATATTATAGATATGTTTCCGCAGTCATATTAGAATATACAAATAAACAACACTTACCTATGCGTTTCCAAAGGTGTTATCCTCGGTTCCACGACAGTGACACATGCGGTCAAAGCGGACTGTGTTGACTGGCAAACCCGGTTCAACAAGGCCGGTTGACGCGCAGCACAGAGCCTTTGTATAGACGTCACACAGATGTTACTCTCGGCCCACCCAGTCTATAGACAGAGGAATGATATAATCGGGAACATGTCTGCACGCACAAGTGCTTAATCGACCTCCAAACACGTGTTCTTTATTTCATCGAAGGTAAACCTTGTATAAGGACATTAGATGAAAAATAAAAAAGGTATTGTTTACAAGGTGCCGCCATCTTGTTTTCTAAAACCCGTATTGGTGTTTGTCCTCTTTCTGGAATTCTGAAAGCGTTTCTGAGGGTACGATCCTTAGCCCCCTGTGCTGGTGTATCTAAAAACATATCCAAAGAGGGACGGATGCGGGATACGGTAACGGCGGCTGCCCCACCAAACCCCGTCAGCGTCCAACATTTAACCAACCCTTCTGAAACACTTGCCTGTTGATTATAGGGACGCTTCATCTGGTATAATCGTACAATGAATACAGCGACAACAGAAATCACGAAATACATCTCCTTGTATACCTTAGGGTAATTTATTTACCATTTCAACCATATCATTGATTTAATGTGCAAAATAGTTAATATTCACAAATGTTTCACATCAAGCATAAAGTCAAGTAATCAAGAAACGTTCGCCATCAGGCGAATGAGTCATCTAACATGTGAGGCTCTACCTTTTTGGACTACAACAAGGATGACTTATTTGTTACCAGCGTTCTTTTGAAATCAACAAAGCTTATTATGATTATTAATTGTATGAATGTTAAGACGTGAAACGTTTATGAATAACAGTTTCATTATTTTTGTATCTAAAAGGAAACATAAATCGATTACTTCTTAGGCATGCATAGTTCATGCAATCAAACATTATGAGCCAATGGCCTTTCTAATGAATAAACTGTCTGTATGTCTGTTTGGTAAAAGAAAATATACACCCATGTTTGGCTGAAAGAAACAAGACATGGTTATTGTATGGCGATGTATTTGACACGGGAATCATAAATGATATTGCATGTATCATAACAATGAGTACCTTACAGCAGGTGATGTGCACATCTTTCAAGCCTAGTGATGTTTGTATTCTTTTTTGTCAAATCATTTTTTAAGTGCGCACTTTCTTTTGGCAGATAGTTTATGTGTAAGCGCCCCCTCTTGTCCTTGTACCTGGTGAATTCTGACGATGTGCGTGTATCTGTTCAGGCACGACAATGACTCCTTGTATTACCCGCACGGGAATTCTTTGAACGCAGTGAGTGAGTGAGTGAGTGTGGTTTTACGCCACTTTTAGCAATATTCCAGCAATATCACGGCGGGGGACACCAGAAATGGGCTTCACACATTGTACCCATGTCGGGAATCGAACCCGGGTCTTCGGCGTGACGAGCGAACGTTTTAACCACTAGGCTACCCGACCGCCCCTTTGAACGCAGGAACGTGCTAACAGATTGTATAATACACAACATGACATGACAGACTGAAACAGTACAGAATTTAACAATCATTTAAGAGACAGATACCAATATGGCAATACATATCGTCAACCAGCAGGTAGAGGGCTAAATCCCCCACTTGTTTGCTTCCAGTCATCTTGTCCATGTTAATCACTCTATTGTTTTAGCCATCATGCCTTCTTAATCGTGTGTATGTACACCAATCAGGCTATATACTATAACCTTTTTATATATACTATAACAATCATGCGTGATAAAACTCAATTTTAACCAAAGCTGTGTTGAGACAAACACACTCGCTGACATTGTACAGTGTTACTGACTTCAATGCTATTCTGACTTGAATACGACCCTTTTTATGAATGGTGTGAATACGATCGGTTCATTACCCTGGGTCATTGAGGCAAGGAGTGGTATGTCTGCACAAAGGACACCGCAACTGTTTAAGAGTTTCCTCGCGAAAGGTGACTAGGTCACAATGAAACCATATACAGAATACCACAACGCCTATCCTTAACGCACATATACTCTTCAAAAAAAGAAACGCAATGCGGATATTTTTGGCCATAAAAGCAAAATTAGCGAACCGAGAGGTGCGAAATGAAGAGATTTAATGTGTTATAGTGTCAGTGACAAATTTCCCGGATCAAATATTATTGATTGATTTTTAGAAAGGTTTATAGGTGTTCGGGCAACTAGGCCCATGTACACCTTGCCCATAATAAAGGTTTGCTAATTACCTAGATAGTTCATAGAGTAGTGAAACTGCCACACGCTTTAAAAGCACCACACACTACTTTAAGATTGGCTGACATATTCAACAGAGACCTATGGTCATCATAGATAGCAATAGCATAATTATAGACATTAAAAATGGAGACTGATTTTTTTATCCTTCAAATGAATAATGACTTCATTCCCTTGTAATTGTGATGGTGGAACCTTATTTCACTAAACGACAGTGAGTGAGTGAGTTTAGCACTACCACCTGTAAAACCAAACTGACGATCTTCACGTAGGCAGACATAACCTTCCCAACGGAATTGCTGGTTAGGAGTTAAGAATGTCTCCTGAAGACAAAACATCTGGCTTTGGGTCAAGACTGTTAATACAAACTTTAAATCCTGGACCGATAGCACTTAGTGATCTAGCATCAAGAGAGCCATAAGAAGGATGGATTAAGACTTCCATTGTTGACCCTTAACCATGCTCGTCAGATCATCAGGGGACAATCTTAACCCCAAGAGGGACTGGGCAGCTGACGCTATCGTCTGGAGACCATCAGACTTGAATGCACGAGTAGTGCCAAGATTAGCAACTATACAAATAACAAAGTTGAGAAAATCAACAGGAGAGATATTGTTAAATACAGGTTTGCAAGATGATTCAGGCATGATGTCAACAACAGGATCAGTCTGACATTCAACTTCCAAAGTTTCAGTCTGAGTACTAGCAGTCACCATGACTGGAGAGGACACATTATCTGAAATTGTAATAACCTGAGACAGTGGTTTAGCTGCAGGAGGTGGTTTAGGGACTGCTGGAACCTGAGCGACATCTCAAACTCCACGCACCTGTCGAACAGCCTAAGAATAAGACAACTTAACCCTCCACTCGGACTTTCTGAATCTGGACAGCTTCCTGGTATTTAATGCAACCTTTGTATGCCGCAGAGTGTGCACCACCACAGTTCTTACATTTAAGTGAACTTTCATTGCACTCCTCGTATTTGTGCTTCCCTCCACATTTAGCGCACACATGATGAGTGCTCCTACACTTAGCAGAGACATGCCCAACGGACTGACACTTGAAGCATCGCAGAGCAGGAGGAACATACATCCGGATTGGAAATCTCTGGAAGAAAATGACAACATGATCTGGTAAAGGCTGGCCAGTAAATGTAAGAAGAACAGATTTGGTGGTAACTGTATCAGGCCCACGAGTCAGACGCACAGCAGAGCACATTAGAGGTAACACAGGTTTCAACTCGTCCTCAATTTCATTCATCTCAATATCCAGATCAATACCATAGATGACTCCACGTGTCATTCAGGATTCAGGCTCATGAGGGGTGACAAAATGTTCATCAAGTTCTGTGACTTGCAAAAGTGTTTTGGCAGCCTCAACGGTTTTTGCATTGACACTAACATCTCCCCTGGCCATCCGCTTAACACTGACTATTTCTGTAGTGATCTTAGCCAAGGCTCTAGCCAAAGCACGTTGTGAGAGGGTCGTTGAACCATCATCATATTCATCTACATCGGCTTTGAAGATAACAGTGGTTGATTTGACCCGCGCTGGCTCATCAAATACAAAAGTAAAATCAGATCATCCAGTAGGAGGAACAGTATTTGGTTGCTTGGCAACACAGGCTTTTTTAGAAGTACCATCTGGAATACGGCCGATTCACTTCCTCCCTGAAGCCACCACTTTAAATCCTTCCTGACATTCAATTCTGTTGTCAGCCATTGCCGAGGACAATCCCCAACAACTGACAATCAGCAAACACCAAATAGAAATTAAAAGTTTGAATGCACTCCAACACAAGAGAAATCAAAAGCCAAAAAAACCAAAGAGGAAGTATCATAAACAATCAAGTGTGGTGTATAACACTAGACAAGTTGCTGAGAAGCAAAAGACGTCCGAACTCGACGGCAGTCAAGACCGAACTCTTCCCGGATCAAAATGATCACAACAAGGACATGCAAAGCATTAGTCGGGGAACACGTACGATTCGGAAAAACGCACCCAGTACATTAACAAAAGGGCCATGGAGCTGCACGCACTGCACGTGCAGCAGCACTATGAACGGTATTTAATTGCAGGGATTTCGATTGCCTCTACGTCAATCGAACAGTGACATTTCAACAACATGCCAAGATTAACAGAAGAGCAAAGACACAACGTCATAGGCCGCTTTCAGGCAGGGGAATCCCGATCAGCTGTAGCCAGGGTTTTCAATGTAGCGCCCAGCACCATCACAAGGCTATGGGATCGGTTACAATAGCATGGGTCAACACGTTATCGGCCAAGGTCGGGACGACCAAGAGTAACCACCCCCGCCCAAAATAGCTACATCCGACTGCGCCACCTACGTGAAAGAACGTGCACAGCCACCTCAACCGCATCCCAAATACTTATTAAAAGATAAACTTCATTCTTTATTTGAAACTTAGATTATGGCATTAGTTTTGGTGGAATGTGCACAATCTAAAAGAAATTGTCATATGATGATACCTTCCCTGTTTGACGTTATTTTTAGACATTGAGGAATTCCCCTAAAGTAGTTCTGTATGTCTCCGCCAGATTGACAACGTAATCACGTGACATAATGACGTTCATCGGGAAATGAAAGACAGTCAGCTTGGTAGTGTTCACCTAGGCGAGGTCACCCGTTAGTATCAATATATATTATTGAAAGGCATTTAGAAGTGATACACATAAGGAAGAGAATTTATGGAAGTCAACTTTTGTATTATAAGGAACACAACGTTTCGGAGCACATGTATATGCTTACTCTTTCATCACCTGATGAAAGAGTAAGTATATACTCCGAAACGTTTTTAAACCTATCATGATCAAACAATGAGAAAGTGTGTGTACTTTTTAAACATGAGGTATATGTCACTGCCAAAACCTGCTTTTTAATATTACAACGTAGAAAACTATTGCTATATGGGTTAACCGTTTGTATCTGTATATATCATCCAGTTCTGTGTGTCGTCTCTCAGAACTTTATATGAGTTGCGCTGTATTATTAATTTTATGTATAAACGTCTAGTTTATGCATGTTTTTTAATTATGTACAGCGGTGAGACGAAAATAAAATATCTATCTGTCTTGGGTTAACGGTCGCGTTAAAGAGTATTGCACTTATATAGCGCCATGCATGCACGTGTGTGTGTGTGTGTGTCTGTGTGTCTGTGTGTGTCTGTGTCTGTGTGTGTCTGTCTGTGTCTGTATCTGTCTGTGTCTGTGTGTT